TCTTACTGGCCCAAAACCCATGGAAATACCAAGTTGAAACTTTCAGAATAAACGACCTTACAAGAAGTCCAAAAGTTAAAAAGTTTTGGGCCAGTAAGATTTTTTAGGGTCTGGGGAGTTGGGTGTAGGACGTTTAGGGTTCAGGGCTTAGGTTTTGGGGTTTAGGGTTTAGGGTCTAGGGTCTAGGGCTCAGGGTTTAGGGCAGCCCTAAACCCTAATAAACCCTAAACAACCCTAAACAACCCTAAACAACCCTAAAACCTAAACCCTAAACCCTACACCCTAAACCCTAAACCCTCAACCCTCAACCCTCAACCCTAAACCCTAAACCCTGCTTTTATTTACCTCAGGCCAGGGGGCTCCAGCGGCTGATCTACTCGGCGCCGTGTCTCGTGCCTGAGTGGCGCAAGCCGTACTTGGGTACTTGGCACCTAGAGGTAGGGTTTAGGGTTTAGGGTTTAGGGTTTAGGGTTTAGGGTTAAGGTTTAGGGTTTAGGGTCTAGGGTTTAGGGTTTAGGGTTTAGGGTTTAGGGTTTCGGGTTTCGGGTTTCGGGTTTCGGGTTTCGGGTTTCGGGTTTCAGGTTCAGGGTTTGGGGTTTAGGGTATGGGGTTGGAGGCTTTGTGTGCCGTGTATCACCGCACTTGAAGGCTCACATGTAGGCACGCACGCTGTGGGAGAAGTCGGTGTAGGGCTTGGGGGGGGGGGGGGGGGGGGCACCAGCAGGGAGCCTTTTAAGCGCCGGCGATTCCAACGAAGCATCAGGGCCCCCTGGCCCCAAATCCTGAATCCTGAACTCGACCCCTGTTGTTAAAAAAGGCAGCTTGAGTTCCGGGGGGGATGGGAAACCAGGGCTGGGCTATGTGTAGGGTCTGGGGTTTAGGGTTTCGGGTGTTTAGGGTGTTTAGGGAGTTTAGGGTTTAGGTTTTAAGGTTTCGGGTTTAGGGTTTGCCCTGAACCAGCAAGTGAAACAAACAACCCCAAAAGCCCTTGGTCGAGAGAGTTTAGGGCTTGGGCTTTTGAGCTGTTGGCGTTTCGGGGGGGGTTCAGGGCTTGGGGCTTGGGGCTCGGGGTTTAGGGCGTGTACCTCAGGGCGAAAATCCCAAAATCTTCTTGCAAGCCCCGGCTCAGAACATTCACTTGTTTGCCTGGGCTTTGGGGTTTTGGGGAAAGTAGGGGGGGTGTAAGGCTTTGGAGGGTCTAAGGCTTTTGGGTTCTCGAATGTAGCTTTTGGGTCCTCCAAGCCCTCTGAGGACATGTCCTAAGTTGAGGAGGTTCTCTTCAGCCCCACAAGGGATGGGAGCCCCTTCTACCCCCGAAAGCTGTTCGACTAGATCTGCTTCATTTTGGAAAGGATGATGAACCATAATCCAAAGGGAGACCCCAAAAAGGGGCCACCGATATTCGCTGATCAGTGTCACGTGGTCCAGGTCCAAGAACAACGCGCTGCGCAGAACACGCGCACACACACACACACACTGACTGTGTGCGCTGCCCACTTGGACTGTACTGGGCCTCGGCAGGACCCTTGGCCAGAACCTGATGACTAGTGCCGGAAGGTCCAAACCCTAAACCCTCCAAAACCCAAAACCCAAACCCCTACTAAACCCTACTAAACCCTACTAAACCCTACTAAACCCTACTAAACCCCACTAAACCCTACTAAACCCTACTAAACCCCACTAAACCCCACTAACCCCTACTCAACCCTACTAAACCCTAAACCCTAAACCCTAAACCCGAAACCCTAAACCCAAGAAACTCCGAGAAGTTACTCAGATCCTGGGCCGAGAAGCACTTCGCGAGGTTGATGAAGATGTCTTCATCCTCGTCTTTTCTTGACACCTGCCATTCCCCCCTCTCAACCCTCAAAATCTAGGGGGTTTTAACCCTTAGGGCTCAGGGTGTAAGGATTTTAAACCCCTAAACCCTAACCCCTAGATCCTAAACATAACCCGAAACACTGAACCCTACGGGTTTTTGACTTTAGGGATGAGGGTGTAAGGTTTTAAGGGTCAACCCTGAAGTCTCTGACTTGGGTGTTAAGGGTTCAGGGTTTAAGGGTTTTTTGGGCTTTCGGGGCGAAAGTGTCAACCCCAAACCCTAATCCCTAAACCCGAAACCCTAAACCCCTAAACCCATACTAAACCGTGGGTGTTTGGGCGCCAGGCTTCTCAGGTTCAGGGTTCAAGGCCTTTGCCCCCTGGTTCTCAGTAGGGAATGAGGGAATCAGGGCCCTCTCTCTCTCTCTCTCTCTCTCTCTCTCTCTCTCTCTCTCTTTTCTATATACATACCCTTTAAGAGACTAGACATACCCTAAACCCTAAACCCTAAACCCTAAACCCTAAACCCTAAACCCCAAACCCTAAACCCTAAAGCCTAACCAACAGTAACTTCAGGGGCTTGCGGGCCTGGACGTGGATGACGCTCAGCTCTGAGTTGATCTTCAGATTCACCGACACCTGGCGGGCTTGAGGTTTGGAGTTCTCCTCATGTCTCGGGCACCCAAGAGGGGGCCGCGACTTGAAGAGAACTGCCCAAATAGTACGTGCGAGCATCTACGTGAAAGAGAGATGAGAGAGAGAGAGAGAGATGAGAGATGAGAGATGAGAGATGAGAGATGAGAGATGAGAGATGAGAGATGAGAGATGAGAGATGAGAGATGAGAGATGAGAGATGAGAGATGAGAGATGAGAGATGAGAGATGAGAGATGAGAGATGAGAGATGAGAGATGAGAGATGAGAGATGAGAGATGAGAGATGAGAGATGAGAGATGAGAGATGAGAGATGAGAGATGAGAGATGAGAGATGAGAGATGAGAGATGAGAGATGAGAAAGAGAGAGAGAGAGAGAGACGGAGAACAGAGAAAAGAAAGCAAGCGACAAAGAGGGAGCGGGAGAGAAAGAGAGCAACAAATAACATCAGACTGACCCGCAGCTGGAACTGCTTTGGCAGCCATCTTGAGCTCGGCTGGACTTAGGGTTTTGGGGGTTTGGGGTTTGGGGTTTAGGGTTTAGGGTTTAGGGGTTTAGGGTTTAGGGTTTAGGGTTTAGGGTTTGGGGTTTGGGGTTTAGGTTTTGGGGTTTAGGGTTTGGGGTTTAGGGGTTTAGGGTTTAGGGTTTTGGGGCTTGGGGGCCTAAGGTTGCTTGCCCCCTTGTTGTTGACCCGCAATCAAGAGCGGACGTTGAGGGCGCCATGAAGTTTCAAACATAGGGGCCTTAATAACTAGAACAGGGTTTTGGGGGGGGGGGGGGTTATTTTAGTATATTATATTAAAGGGACCATACTGGAAAGTCTGTTAGTAATTATTTCCGACCCCTAGATTCGAACCATCGGCCGCAACATCTGGGAGCCGCAGCCCTCTGAGAGCCCTCGGAAGTCTCCGCTGCCCTAAAAGTTGAAACCCCAAAGACCACATACCTCTAAACCCTAAACCCCAAACCCCAAACCCCAAACCCTAAACCCTAAACCCTAAACCCTAAATCCTAAAGCCTAAACCCTAAATCCTAACCAACCCTAAACCCTTGGGATGTTCCCCCTGCTACTAACAGTCCTTCATAGGGACGATAATAGGGGTACTGTAATCCCTACCATTAAGGACTGTTAGTAGAAGGGTGAACATCCCAACCAAGACCCGGCCTAAGCCCTTAGCAGCAATCCTGGGATCTCCCCTTGTGCACCTCGGATTCGGGTTCCCGGAGCATCTGCGCAGGTACGCCGTCCAATAGCGCTTTCCTGAAGGGACTTGGGGCTGGGCTTCAGGGCTGGGCTTTAGGGCTTTAGAGTTTGGGGTTTAGGGTTTAAGGTTTGAAGCTTGGGGTCTAGGGTAACCCGAAACCTTAACCCCCAGGCGCTAAAACCTAAACCTTGGACCATAAAACGCGTTTAGGAACCCCGAGCCGTGGTTTAGGGTGTGGGGTTTTAACACTCCAAGAAAGACTGTCATGTTGTCTGGGACAAGACAAACCCCTAACCAAGCCCCAAAACCCCAAACCCTAGGACAAAAGCCCTTAGAGCCTCAGGGTGTAAGTTCCAGGGCTGCGCTCGGAATTCGTGAAGGTTTAGGATTCAGGGCCTTTAAGGGGGTCGTTTTGGTTGTAGGGGGGTTGGGGATTAGTTAGGGGTTGGGGGATTTTGGGATCAAGGCTTTGGGGTTTAGAGTTTCGGGGTTCAGGGTTTGGGGTTTGGGAGGACCCTAAACCACAAAACCCTACATTAAGAGGGTCTCGCAAAGTCCTGGTGGCTCTAAGTTGCACAGCCATTCAAAATCCACCGTCCTCCAAGCAAAGGCCCTCGAATCGAAACTTGGTTTAGGGTTTAGGGTTTAGGATTTAGGGTTTAGGGCCTAAACCCTAAACCCTAAACCCTAAACCCTAAACCCTAAACCCTAAACCCTAAACCCTAAACCCTGGGGTTTAAGCCTTAGGGCAGACCTGGAACCGGGTTCATATCATCCCCCTGGCCTTGACTTTAGGGGGAAGGGTGGGATTGGGTTACTTTGCACCTCCGCTCCCCCTGCGCCCGCCTCAGCAGGCCATGGTACATCTTCTGGCAGGCAGGTGCAGCGTTTGGTGCTTCGGACTTTGGGTTTATGGCTTAGGGTCTTCGGGTGAAACCCTCAGCCGTCAAAAAATCAAGTCCCAGCCTGAAAGCCCGCACCCTAGCATCCCCCCAAAAAACCTAAACTCACTAAAAGGCCCCTAACCCCAGAAGCCGACAGCCCACACCATGCGGTGCACGCAAGGGTTTAGGCCTCAGAGCAGAAGGGCTGTAGAAGGACGTTTAGGGTTTAGGGTTGAGGGTTTTAAGGTTCCATAGCTACCCCAGTCATGACCCTCAGCAAGGGGCTCCTTTGCAGATTAGGAACTATGGTCAGGTTTAAGGTTCAGGTTCGGTGCATCGTTTCGCGTTTTAGGGGCGGGCTCTTTTCTTAAACCGTTTGCTGTTGCGTTGAGGCTGTTGATGTGGGGGAGGTCTTGGGGCGAAGAGGAAGTTCTGCGCTACTCCCACACAAAGCCCCTGCACATAAGCAGTTACCAGTTTCGCCCTGAAACGCAACCCCTAAACCTTTTCAAGCACTCTTGACCGGTGCATTTCCCAGTTTGCATTGGCCCCCACAAAGTTAAAAAAGTCTGCCTCCGAGTCGGACAGAAACTAGACCGGGCCTCAAGATACCATCAGAACCGAGGTACTGTGGTTCCATTTTCAAGAGCTCGGTGAACCCTAAACCCTAAACCCTAAACCCTAAACCCTAAACCCTAAACCCTAAACCCTAAACCGTACTCGCAACAAAGAGCCGGCCTTGTTAGCAAATAGATTGGGCTCCAGGTCAACTTCAAGGGCACGCAGTACTCTGAGCCACCAAGCCTACATCCGCGAAACCCTTCCAAGCCCTCTACAAACTCAAAAACATCCTGAAAGAAAAAACCCGCCCGCAACAACCTTAATAACCCCCTTCCCCACCTGGTCAGGATCTGCTGGCTCGAGCCTTTCATACTCGTAGTCCTGTGGCTTGCGTGCTTGCGACTTAGGGATTCAAAGCGCAGGGCTTGGGGTTACGGGCTCAGGGCTTGGGAGGGTTTAGGGGAACCCCAGAAACCCTAAACCCTAAATCCTAAACCCCACAACCCTAGACCTGAAACCCTGAGACCCTGAAGCCCTGAGACCCTGAAGCCCTGAAACCCTGAGACCCTGAAACCCTGAAACCCTGAGACCCTGAAACCCTGAAGCCCTGAAACCCTGAAACCCTGAAACCCTGTACTTGACCAGGGCGCAGGATCCATGTCTCTCAGCACATCTTGCTCCACCCGGTCATCGGCTTCCATCGCCTGAGAGACGTGGCTGGCTCTGCTTAGGGTTTAGGGTTTAGGGTTTAGGGTTTAGGGTTTGGGGTTTAGGGTTTAGGGTTTAAGGTTTAGGGTTTAGGGTTTAGGGTTTAGGGTTTAGGGTTTAGGGTTTAGGGTTTAGGGTTTAGGGTTTAGGGTTAGGGTGGCTTAGGGTTAGGATGGCTTAGGTTTGCGCCCTGCGCGCCTCGAGCCCTTTTGGCAAGCCAGGCAACGAGCTAAGTACGGAAGCCAAAAAAACTTCTGAGGGTTTAGGGTTTAGGGTTTAGGGTTTAGGGTTTAGGGTTTAGGGTTTAGGGTTTAGGCTTTAGGGTTTAGGGTTTAGGGTTTAGGGTTTAGGGTTTAGGGTTTAGGGTTTGGGGCCTCAGGGAGCTGCCTGCGGGACTCAGAGCCCCGTGGCGGCTTCGGTACCTTCGCCCTGCTCGACAGCCCCGGGCTCCCTCAGTTTATATTGTAATAAAAAGGGTCCAAATACGAAAAAAAACAATAAAAACACGAAAAAAAAAACCATCAGCCCATAAAAAACTAAAAATATCTGGTCTTATATTGTGTTATATTCTGTTCTATTATAAATTATCCGTAATATAATAAAAATATCTTGTCTTATGTTGTAGTATATTCTGTTCCATTATGTATTATCAGATAATCTACTATTCTATTATGTATTATCAGATAATATACTATAAAACTACATTATATTTGGATTTAGGGCTTAGGATCCCTGAGCATAAGCTTCAGCCCTTTTTTTAATGCAATGACTCCCTTCCTCCAAGACCTTCAGCCTCCAGGGAAGAGAAGCGCAAGTGAGACACCTTACTGTATATGGTTGCGCCAACCACCTCCCCGCACCTCCCACCACCTGCCCCCACTGTGGGGCGACCCCTGGGGTGCTTGTGGAGGTTTTCCTGGACACAAACCCTTGAACCAACCCCTACACCCTTAAACCCTGATCCCCTCTACGCAGACAAGAAGTTCTGAATCCTTCAAGTCCTGAACTCCCAAACCTTACCCCCCTTGATTAAACTCCACACCCTTCCCGACCTTAGAACCCTAAACCATAAACCCCAAACCCTCGACCTTAAACCCTAAACCCTGAACCCTAAACCCTAAACCCTAAACCCTAAACCCTAAACCCTAAACCCTAAACCCTAAACCCTCGGCCCGGAACCCTTCATCTCCGAAACCCTGAAACCCGACTTTGCCGGCCTCGTAGGCATCGCGCATTCCTTGGGAGCCCCACGGTGGGCACTGAGTGCCCATGGCATTGCCCATGGCCCCTGAGGGCTTGGGGTTTTCAGGGGTTTAGGGTTTAGGCTTTAGGCTTTAGGGTTTTGGGTTTAGGGTTTAGGGTGGTCTAGGGTTTCGGCTTAGGGTTTCAGGTCCTAGGATTCATGATGGCGCTGTAAGGTTTAAGGCGTAGCCTGTGGTAGGATGCCTTATGCCCTAGGAAAGAGCCAGCTTGCAGAGTTCGGGGCCTTATTCGAGTGTTAGGGCTTCGGTGACCTCTAAACCCCCAACCCCACGAACCCCTACATTCGGCTAGTAAAGCCTCTCTTCGACTCCAGGCGTGCAGTTACCAGAGCTGATTTCGAGGGCTTATGGTTAGGGGTGAGGTTTTGGGCCTAGGGTTGAGAGTTTAAGGTTTAGGGTTCAGGGTACATATATATATATATATATTCAGGGTAGAGGGCTCAGAGTTCTGGGTTTAGGGTCAGTTAAGGTTGAGGTTTAGGGTGTAGGGTGTATGACTGAGGGCCACTAGGGCCCTGAAGCACACCGTTATAATGCGAATACTAGTAGCAAGCAATAATTTAGAAGTAAGTCGCATAAGACCACGTGCATCAGAGCCTGGGGCTTGTAGGTTTCGATACCCCCTCCCCCTCCCCCACCTCCGCAAATCACAATCTCCTCGGAGGCTACATGCACCTTGTGCACCTTTAGCTAAGCAGGATAAATATGGTAAGTACACCTGCAATTGCCCTAACTACGCGCAACCCTAGGTCACTAGCAGCCCTCTAAGCTAAAACCCTAAAGCCTCAACCCCAGCCGGCCTGTCTACAGGATCGCAAGCATCCGCCGCAGTTGAGAGAGAGATGGCTGCGAGAACAGGTTCTCGGTTCTTCAAGACAACTCGACTACACCCTGGCTAAACCCTGAGCCCAAACCTCCTTGGGTATGCCTGAGCCCTGCAAAGCCTGAATGCTTGCCTAAACCCTAAATCCTAAAGCGTGGGCGATGCTCGTGGGAGCTTATTAGACCCCACAAGGCGGGAACACTTTCGGGAGCCTCCCAGGGATCTGGGAATAATGCTACGGCCCCCCTCATCTATATACCCTGAAGCCTACAAACCGAAACCCTGCAAGCTCCGACGTTGGTCTGAAAGAGCCATGAACCGAAGTTTAGGATGGCTCCAGGAGGGGAGTTCCCAGTTTTTGGGGTCGGGGGAGGGCAGGGCGGGGGGGGGGGGGGGAAAGGGAAACGGCACACGGAATTCCAAACCCTAGACCCCCAGACCCCCCAAAACAGCACAGGCTTGGCCCAGGGTTGGCGTACTTGTCTTGGCTCAGAAGACCTTCCACAAACTCCCCGATGGTCGTCCGCCACTCTGAGTCCTTTCGGGGTTTCGGGTTCCCGGGGTTTAGGGCTCAGGGGGATTCCGGTGCAGTGCGTACCTTTGCTGGGATTTTGGTGTCTAGGGCTTCACGGCTTCAGAGCCTAGGATCCTAGACTCGTAGACCCTGAAGCCTATAACCCGCCACAAACCCTAAACCCGAAACCCTCAGACCTTCAAGGCTCGCCCTAGGAGGCCTCGAGGTGTCTTGTTTCGGGGAGGCGAAGCGCCTGAGCCCTAACCACAAAGCCCCTAAAACCCCTTCAACTCCCTGGAACCCCTAACAACCCCTAAAACCCCAATGCACCCCTAAAAACCCGTGAAACCCCCGAGGCAGCGGTCCTTGGCGGGACGCAACTCCTCGTCGTCGAGGACGTACTCGCCCAGCCAGTTCCAGAGCCTGGCAGTCTCCGGGTTCAGGTTTAGGGTTTAGGGTTTAGGGTTTAGGGTTTAGGGTTTAGGGTTTAGGGTTTAGGGTTTAGGGTTTAGGGTTTAGGGTTTAGGGTTTTGAGGGTTGAGGGTTTAGGGTTTTGAGGGTTGAGGGTTTAGGGTTTAGGGTTTGGGGTTGAGGGCTTAGGGTTTGGGGTGTAGGGTTTTGGGGGCTTCAGGGTCTAGGGTTTAAGGGCTCAGCGTTTAGGGCTTCAAAGTGTAGGGTTTTAGGGCTTGGGGTTTAGGTTTTTGGGGTGTTGGGCTCGACCAAAGTTGAGGTCTAGGGTTTTGACTTGAGGCTCAGGGTTCACGGCTGTGGTAGCTTAAGTATCTAGTCTATAGGAAATGCTGCGAAGGGTTGCGGGTGTAGGGTCCTGAAGAGACTGAAGAAGAACACCAGCAGCTCACTCGCTTTTCTCTCCACAGCCGCGCTGACTGTGGCGAAGGCAAGGACTACTTTGCGGCCAGCTGCACTACTTGGAGGTTCATGAGTAGTTAAAAGTTTCGTTGGAAGAGGCCCAACTTAAACCCAGTTAAACCTCTAGCTACCCTGCCCTAGGGGCCTTAATAATTAAAATAGGGTTTTGGGGGATCATTCGTATAATTTAAAGGTACGATAAGGGAGTACTATTAGCAAACATTCCGACCCCCACCCTACTTTCACCACCTCAGGTACAGCTGTCCATGCGCCTCAAGTTCTCTATTGTGGCACTTTGCGGGGCCCTTCTCCACCCTGCAGGCTTCCGAGGTATGCCAAACGTAAAGGCTGACTTTTCAAATGGGTTCGGAGAGGAGCTAAGGGAGAGCGGCGGCTCTAGGATTTGAAGTTCCAAGAAGTAGGTTCGACATGGACATACATTAGGCTCCCCAGTGAGCTGGAAAAATAAGTCGTTGCCCGTTTAAGGGGTTTCTCAGTCTCAACAAAAAGGGAGGTAGGGAACTAACTGGGCATCCTACGTCAGGTGGCTTTGAAGTCAGGCTGTTAAGAGCATTCTAGGCTTTGGAGCTTTTGGCGTCCAGCGTCAGCGTGCAGGGCATCACCACGGCTCCCCAAAAAGCGCAGAAAGAGAAAGAGAGAGAGGCATGGGCCGGTTCTTCCAGTGAGTTCAAGGTGTTGGGATGAGGACTTGGGGGTTAAAGCTGAGGGTTGAGGGGTTTCGAGGTTTAAGGTTTCGGGGTGTTGGGTACTCAAACCACGGTAGAGCCGGAAAAAGTTACCTGTAGCAGCCTCACGGAACTGTAGCAGAGCAGGAGATATGTACAACTGATGGGAGATCTCCATCAGACTCGGTCGGGGCTTCTGGGCAGTAGAGTCATTAGAGGTCGCATCCCGCATCTACGTATGCTTCGAGTCCTCCTCACCGAGAGTTGCGAGAGTGGCTTCGGCCAGGGAGGCCAGCGAGGAGCGAAACATGCTGGCGAAGATCATGAGGTTGCCCAGCACCTGCAGTGGGCTCGCATTCAGGACGTTTCAGGGTGGGGCTTTAAGGCTCGAGCGGATTTCGGGTTTCAGGGTTTCAGGGTTTCGGCGTTTTCGGGTGAAGGGTGGGGGGGGGGGTGGTAGAAGCCCAGGAATGAGCACGGAAGACTTGGGAACATGCTACCACTGCCGGCCGTTGCTTCTGGTTCACGTAAGCCCCAAACCCTACACGGAACCGGATTGTAGGGCTTCGGCGCCAGTCCGCAAGCCGCCGTTAAACATAAGCCGACACCCTAAAGCAGCTGGAAATGGGGCTTCGGGTGTAGGGGCGCAGGTTGGGATGTTCCCCTTGATTCGAACAGTCCTTACTAGGGATTAGAATATGTAGGGGGTACTATAATCCCTATCAAGGACTGTTCGTATAATGGGGGAACATGTCAGGGTACAGGGCTCCCTCATCCGTCCGCCTGTCCAGCCCGGCTGATGAAGGCCAAGGCAAAGAAGTCCTGAGCGTCTTTTCCAGGAACCGGGTTCAGGGTTGAGGGAGGGTTTAAGGGCAAAGGTTCAGGGCTTCAGGGTTGAGGGTTCAAGGTTTAGGGTTTGGTCAAAGGCTTAGGGGTTCAGGGGTTCATGCTCGAGGGATTGAGGTTTAGGGTTTTGGGTGCTTACGGTCGAATGGGCCCTGGGGTTGATGTCTGCGCAGCCCCAAAGTTGGGTCTCTCTTTCCTGGGGCCTTCTCTTTGTGATTCCCGTGGTGAACTGAATGAAAAAACACATGAAAGACAAGGAGACGCGAGAAGATATTTACGTTGGTTGAAAGAAGGCAAGAGACGGAAGACCGCACGAAGCTTGCTAGAACAAAGAATCTAGGGGGCAAAAGCAAACAGTTCATTTTTTCCACACCGGGTTCATCGGTATCTTTGGTGTTCTTATAACCCCTGAACCCTAAACCCTCGTTCTCGGATAACTACCCATGAGCCTGTCAGTCATCTAGGCCAGCCTCCGAGATCCCTAGAAGCCATTGCATGTCGAAGTTGAGACTTGGAGCGCGGGTTACCCCTTAAACCTTAACCCTAAAACCCTGAACCCTGAATCCTAGAGACCCTGAACCCTGGGTGTATGCTTTTATGATTTTAGGGTTTGCGAGCTTCCAGGGCTTCAAGGGCTTCAAGGGCTTCAGGGGCTTGAGAGGCTTGAGGGGTTTAGTTTTTTGGGGGTTCTGCGGCTCTTGGTGCCGTGTAGACCCCAAACTGCACCAAAGACAGCTAAACCTAAACCCTAAACAACCATAGACAGAGCCTCCAAAAGCACGAAGAAAAACCCAGAAAACCCCACAAAGCCTGTAAACCCGATAACTAAACCTCAGCCCTATACCCCCAAAACCCTAAACCCTAAACCCTAAACCCTGAACCCTAAACCCTAAACACTCCAAAACCCTGCATTCCGCCGAGCTTCATCCCGACTCATGAGGGAGCCGGGAGGACCACAGGCAGCCGGATTGAACTGCGCATCGTAGACCACCTGGCGCCCCGCCACGGCTTTGCGGGTTTGGGGTGTAGGCTTCAGGGTTTAGGGTTTGGGGTTTAGGGTTTAGGGTTTGGGGCTTAGGGTTTGGGGTTTAGGGTGTAGGGTTTAGGGTTGGGGTTTGGGGATTAGTGTTTAGGCTGTAGGGCTTAGGGATTTAGATGGGTTCAGATGGGATTCGGGGGCATAGTGGGCATCGACGCCCTAGAGGCTAAAGATCATGAACTTAATTTGAAAGCCCAGAATTTAGGCTGCTCCCCCTTGGACTGACAGGGAAAGAAGTATATGCTGGTGCATGATAGCACCCACTTCAGATAGTCCCTTGAGATTTCGAGCCAACAGCCTAAGCTCAAGTAGGACCTTTGGATCTGCTTGAGCTCCTAGCTAGATCTTCTGAACCCTATAAACCCTGAACCCTCAACCCTAAACCCTCAACCCAGACTCTGGGACGTTCGAGCTTTCGAGTTTGCTTCTGGGCTTTCGGGGTCTTGGAGGGTGAGGAACCTAGACATGAGACCCCAGGGCTTCGAAGTGACCTTTTAGCAGGTTTAGGGTTTAGGGTTTAGGGTTTAGGGTTTAGGGTTTAGGGTTTAGGGTTTAGGGTTTAGGGTTTAGGGTTTAAGGTTTCAGGCCTTAGGGCTTAGGGTTTAGGGCATAGGGTTTGGGGCTTAGGGTTTAGGGCCTAGGCAAGTTGAGGGCTCAGGGAAGTCTAGGGCATAGGGTGTCGGCCCATCGCCGCCCAAAGCACTTCGTAAGGTCATAGCTACGCAAAATCTGTTGACGATCGCGGTTGTCAAGAACTCGGAGAAGAAAAAAAGAACGCCGCCCTAAACCATAGCACCCCCTCTTCCCCTCAAGTCACACAGTTCCCCCGTCAGACCCAAACCCAGCTCAAAACGCTAGAGCCCTAAACCCCCAAAAGCTCTGAGCTCTTAACCCAGTTCAGCCTTAAACTAAACCCTAAACCCTAAACCCTAAGCCCTAAGCCCTAAACCCTAAACCCTAAACCCTAAGCCCAAACCCTAAACCCCAAGCCCCGGAACTGCCGGGCCCCCGACGTGCCGCAAGGGGTCGATGAGGAGGAAGCAGGCAGCCGCGAGGAGCCATGCCTTGGGCTTCTTTCTGCAAAGGACATATGATATAAAGGTTTATGTTTATATGTACGGTAGTAGAGGGTAGTAGAGGCTTTAGGGTTGAGGGGTCAAGGGTCTTGCCGGTAGACTCCCGGAACTCGAAGCCGCCAAGCTGGAGGGCTCACTCACTACCGAGCGCGACGCATCGCATGCCGAGGCCCTCAATTCGCCTCCCCCCTTGGACATGAAAAAAAGATGAAATCGAGGGCGGAAATTCTCGGAAGAACCCTACCCTAGTTTCCCTAGGTGCCTTAATCCCCAAGTCCCATAATTCGTCCTTTTCAGGGGAGTGGTTGTAACTTCGCCATCCCCTCATCTTCTTTTGAGGCCCGGCTGCCGCCCAGCGCCCATGCCCGCGGTGGAGCTCGTGGGTGATGTAGCCTGGACCGCCGCGGGCTCTGGCAGACTGCAGGCGGGTTTAGGGTTTAGGGCTTGGGGTCTAGGGTTTGGGGTTTAGGAGTTACAACCGGCTATGACCTTCCGTTTGGGACTTGGGTTCCTGAAATAGACCAGGCTTCAGGGTGCTAGATACGCGCGCCACGGTGGGGCTTCAGGTGCGGGGGCTGAGGGTTTTGGGCTTCGGGCGTGATTCCCCACTCGCCCGGCCCACGCCGTTCCCTCCCATCGCTAGGGCGGCCAGGCATTGAAATGTCAACACCCTCTCAACCTCAAACCGCAAAACGGACCTCCCGGCGCATAAATCCCAGCGGCAAGCGAGAACCGTCAGCAGCAAAGCAAACTGGAGCTGGTGGCTCAGGAAGACCACGTCATTGCTAACAGCCATGCCCATCCTAGGATTTCGGGGAGATCCTAAGGATCCAGCAGGCGGACACCTCTAGAGAATTGTGGTTTAGGGCTTAGGGCTTAGGGCTTAGGGTTTAGGGTTTAGGGTTTAGGGTTTAGGGTTTAATTAGGGTTTAGGGTTTAGGGTTTAGGGTTCAGGGAGAGAATCCAGAGGTAGCCCCGGAGTGCCCACCCCCAGATATCCCAACAAAACGTAGAAGACGGCTTTAAGCTATGAGGCGTTAGGGTTTGGGGTCTAAGAAACCCCTGCGCCCCCAAAACCTGCGACGCTGCTACCTAATCCCTCAAACCGAAGCCTTCAAAAAAAAAGACGGGAAGCAGTACACTCAGCATCGTCGGCAGGCATCAGAAGCCCATGAGCAGCGGGGCGCTCACGCAGAAGGTGAACCCTGAGGTGAGCTTCTCAGACAGGCTGCCTGAGTCTCCGAGGTGTTGGGGGCTTGATTTCCAGGGCTTACGGGCTTAAGGGCTTAAGGGCTTAGGGGCTTAAGGGCTTAAAGGCTTAAGGGCTTAGGGGCTTAAGGAAGGGTTGCACTGCGACGGCCTGGGTCGTCACCCACGCAACGCCCGCCCCGCAGGGAGGTAGCCCTATGGAGGGTGTTTTGCTTTCTGCTTACAGCAAGTCCCCTTAAGCATGGGAAAGGCTACTTCAAAAATAGACCCGGATGCTCACAGGGGCCGAGGCATGCGAGGCATCCAGCAAGCTCTGGCCATTGGCTTGCGCCATTGCGGAGCAGTGGCCAAGCCGAGCGTTGCCTCGAACCTTCTGGCCTCGAACCTTCTGCCCCTGCTGATGACATGTACCGTTTGGGGTCTTTGCTAAACCAAACGCTACACTTGAACCATAAGAGGAATAGGGTAACATGACCACACAACATTCCGAGCTTCGGTGACCAGGTGGGGCAAGGTTTTGCTAAACCCCTGAACCAACCGGGAGCCGGTAAGCATGCTGACGTTGTTGGCCGACACAGCTGCGCATTCTTGGGTTTCAGGGCTAAGGCTGACGTTAAGTTAGGGTTTAGGGCTTGGGTTAAGAGGGTTTAGGGTTTAGGGTTCAGGGTTTCTGGTTTAGGGTGTAGGGTTCATGTTCATCGTCGCAGCTGGTGCGCGCTAGGGCTACTTGAGGCTCATACTTCACAATTTGTGGATACATGAGGTTTTAACTAGGTCAGCGATAGGTATAACTAGTGAGAGCCTTGGATGAGGTTATGAGATGCTGATAGCCCCGCTTACTCTTCAACCTTAAAGTGGGGCAATGTCGTCACGGTCACCAACTTTTGTAGACATGTTGGGGGGCCACTCAAAACTCAGTAGGTTGTACCGTTTTAGGGTTTAGGGTTTCAGGTTTCGGGTGTACTTTTTTAGGTTTGGGGATGAGGTGTTAAGGTTTAGGGCTTGGGGTTATAGGTCGAGGATGGGCGCAAAAATTGCGGATGGCACCATGTGGGCACGGTCTTTCTGTTAGGGTCAGGCTTAGGGTTCAGAATTCAGGGCTTCGGGCTCGCGGCTTAGGGTTTCAGGACTCTAAGCCCTAAACCCTAAGCGCTAAACGCCAAGCCCCTAAACCTCTAAACCCCGACCCACAAACCCCCAAAACCCTTAACCCCTAAATCCTAAACCCTAAACCCTAAAACCCTAAACCCCAGAACCTGCAAGCCCGGTTCCATGCCAGCCGGACGAATCGGGTGCCAGCCCGAACCGCACAAACAGGAAGCCTCACCAGAGTCGAGAACTGAAGGGGTTTAGGGGTTCGGGGTTTCTTGGGTTTAGGGTTTCGGGATGAGGGGTTTGGGGTTTCTTGGGTTTAGGGCTTAAGGGGTTTGTGGGTTTTAGGGGGTTTAGGGGTTTAGGGTTCAGGGATTTAGGGTTTGGGGTTTAGGGTCTTGGGGGTTTGGGTTCAGGACTGGAGGCTTAGGGTTTAGGGTAGAGCTTCTGAAGTCCCAGCACATCAGGGTTTAGGGCTAGCAGCATGTTAGCAAAACATGCATATTTGTATATGTATATATATAGCATATATATATATATACATAGATATATGTATGTATAATGTATATACACAATTTATATATATATATATATATGTATGTATATACACATATATATATATACATATATACATATGAATAGTATACATATATACATACACAATTACCCATGTATATGTATATGAAGATGTATGACGTCATAGATCTTGGACTATGTACTATTGCTGATGTATCGTCTATTCTGCTGTACTGTGTACATCTTCATGACATGCAGTATGTCACTTGTATGATATGTATGCATATGAATTACGCATTATTTGTCATGGTTCGGTACGCATTTACACACACACACATACACATATACATACATACATACATACATACATACATACATACATACATACATACATACATACATACATACATACATACATACATACATACATACATACATACATACATACATACATACATAGATACACACACATACATACATACATACATGCATGCATACATACATACATAGACATACGTATATATGTATATAATATATACAGACATAGATAGATCCATGATTTTCCAAACTATGGGCTTGGGTCTCCGAGTAGTTTGAAAATTCATGGTTTTTATGGTTTTTATTGGTTTTTGCGATGTTTCCTGAGCAGGGGCTCCAAAAACATTGGTTTTACCGATGTTTTTTGAAGGTGGCCTCTCCAAAACATTGGTTTTACCAATGTTTTTGAACCCCTACCTTCAAAAAACATTGGTTTTACCGATGTTTTTTGAAGATGGCCTCTCCAAAACATTGGTTTTACCGATGGTTTTGAACCCCTACCTTCAAAAAACATTGGTTTTACCGATGTTTTTTGAGCCCATGCTCACGAAACATCGCAAAAACCAATAAAAACCATAAAAACCATGATTTTCCAAACTATGGGCTTGGGGTCTCCGAGTAGTTTGAAAAATCATGGTTTTTATGGTTTTTATTGGTTTTTGCGACGTTTCCTGAGCAGGGGCTCCAAAAACATTGGTTTTGCCGATGTTTTTTGAAGGTGGCCTCTCCAAAACATTGGTTTTACCAATGTTTCTTGAAGGTGGCCTCTCCAAAACATTGGTTTTACCCAAGTTTTTGAACCCCTACCCATGTTTTATATAAATTTTCTTGATCTAGAGCCATAGTCATATATAATGTCGCACACCATGTGATCTGCATGTGCCACCTTTTGGTACCCAAGGCCAATTGATCTCACTGAGCCGCCATGTAGGTTTCGGAGACTTCATCGATCCACAAAAAATGGAATCCTGCAGAGCCGTCATGCGCGTACTTTCTGCTTTCGCTCTGTGCAGTGAGCTGCAAGCTGCAATACTATGACACGGAGCTTCACTCAGCTCAAATTACTGTAGTTCGCTTCCCTGATACGATAAGAGTCACCATGGCTGAGCGTGATGGTGACACCGCAGTGAGCACCGGGCTCGATGCCAATCGAGGCATGCATCTCTTGAAGCAACTGCCCTACCCAATATGGTCTGATTATATTTTTGAAGCAGTTTTTTTGAGATCAAGCCAGATTTCCTATAGCCAGTTGCAGTTATGGGCAAGCGCTACAACCCCTTCCCTGATCCCAAGAAGGGCAAAGGACGGATGGTCCTGAAGAAGCCTGCAGGGGTCAAGTCAGCCTCGTGGTCCAAGGTGCCTTACCAGCGTCACAAACTAGGAGGAGGTTTTCTTCGCAAGGATCAGACGAAGTGGCGTCGTAACATCCAACAACTCCTAAAGGCAACCGACAACCAAATCTTGGACATGCTCATGAAGGACAAGTTCCTGCAGAACTGGGAGGGTTGTGTATGTCCTTTCTGCAACAAAGGTGTGCTGGGTCCATTGTCTGATAGGCCTTCAAGGGACACCAAGGCCTACAGGTGCAACAAGAAGAACTGCCAGAAGTACGTCTCTCCGGCTCATCTGCATCCCCTCTTCACAGTCCTTCGTGGTCCAGAAGGGCACAGCCTCCAAGTGCAAGCTACTGCACTCCTCCTTCGCCTCGCTGGAGTTCCTCTGGCCACCATCCATCTGCTCACGAACATAAATCACAAAGCAATTGAGAGGCTCAACAGCAATCTCAATTTCCTCCGGAGTGGCCACGTCACACAGGTTGAGAAAACCATCAAGTTTGGGGGCGCCCCCAAGGCTTGGAGAGACGTGGAGGTGGATGAGGCTTGCTTCGACAAGCGGACTCTGAAGCCGTGGGAGCAAACAAAGAAGGATGCCCAGCAAGGCAAGAACACTGAGTGGGAACAGTGGGGAGGGTTAGTCCAGCGAGGATGTCCCAAGAGCTTGGTCCTATTCAAACTTCGCCCTGCCATCACAGTACCCAGAGCACCGGGGCCAGGTGCTATTCGCAAGGTAGACTGGACGACTTGGGAATTGGATGCTGTGAGCAAAGCATGCAAAAGATGTGACGGCAGATCTGTTTTACAGCGAGGGCGAAGCTCCACAGAGACGTGGGAGTGCTTAGCAAACATCAGATGGTCTTGGTTTCAGGCGAGGCGGTGTTCGTATGCTAGAAGCAGCGACCCCAGTCTTGCTGATCCTCTAGCACTCAGGCTTGGTGACAATGCTTCGCATGTACTCATCCAAGAGCTGGCCTGTGCATACCCACAGATCCTCGTTGCGGTGCCAGTACTCGTACTGTGCACTACGGATCTGGGCTGCCAGCTGCTTGGAGGATGCCTTGCCATGCTGGTTTAATCGGAGACGGTCTTTGATAAAACGCCAGGCACGGTCGATGATTTGGGTGCCCCGCTTGGTCTTGATGACGGTGCCATCCGGAAGCTTGTGAGTGGAAATCTTCACATACACAGGCTTGACCCACACCCATTTGTTGCCCTTTTTGACCCTGCGTTTCTTGTGGACGACTGCATCGTGCAGCATTCCATCCACCTTGCTGCGATATGACCGGGCCGAATCCGAGTGCAAGATGACACGCCTGTTCTTGAGCCACTTCTGGGCCACTGGAATCTCTCTGCCCGGGGCATCTGGCTCAGACACATGCCACACACACACACACACACACCAACAAATTTCAGACACCTGCCAAACACACACCAGCAAAACAAAGGAAATTGGTAGGTCCATGGGGGGGCGTAGCATATATATATATATATACACATTTGGTACCCCAGCATGTCTGCCTCCCGACTCCTTGGTGGTTTGGAGTTTTAGGATGTCGGATTTAAGGCTCAGGGTTCAAGGCTTAGGGTTTCGGACCTCTCACTGGACGTTCGCCAAGCTTCGCGTTTTGGGCGAAAGATGCGCTTAGGGGGTTGCGCACTTTCGGTTCATATGCTGCGACTACCTCAAATCTCTCTTTGCCATATTTCAACCATGACAGGGCGACACACTTAACCTAGGTGGTTGGCAAAGTACACATGACTCTTTCTTGCAGTTGGAGATCCCCCATCATTGGCCAGTTGGATGGAAAGTTGAGTAGATACAATATCAGCACCCCTTATCAAAGGATGTCAATGGGTGGCAGTCCCCGCAGTACGGATCCCTGCCCAGCAGAGAGGGAGGGTGGTTTGGGAAATCTAGAGCTCGAGGTTTGGGCCCTAAACCCTAAACCCTAAATCCTAAACCCTAAACCCTAGATTACCCTAAACCCTACCCCCCCCCCCCCCCCCCCCAAAAAAAAAAAAAAAAAACGCACCGGAAACGTTGGGGGCATCCCGGGCCTACACATCGGATGTAGGCGTTGTCTGGATTGTCCATCAACCTCCGCAGGGGCTTGCGGGGGGGGGGGGGGGGGGAGAAAGGTCCAAGGCTCAGGGGCCAGTGTTGAAGGTTTAGGGTTCCGGGTGTGGGGCCTTATCTGAGAAATATTCAAACTACCCCTTGGGCATACCTTGAAAAGAACTTCAGGGGTATGGTAAAATCCTCCCTTGTATTCTCCTTTTTCTTAGAGCTTTGGGAACCAGAAAGCAAATAAGCGAAAGGTTCACTGGCTTGCCTTAGCCACACCAGCTGCCCCAAAGCCTCAAACCCCTGTTGCATTCCAAGCCCTAAGCCCTAAACCCTAAACCCCTAAACCTTAAGCCTAAACCTTAAACTCTAAACCCTAAATCCTAAACCCTAAACCCCAAACCCTAAACCCTGAACCCTAAACCCTAGGAGACTGCAGAGAGATAAACCCCGCCTCCGGAGCTGACGGCCTCGGGAGCTTCCAGGCAAAAAAAGGTCTAGGGGGTTTCGGGGGGAGTGGGTTTAGGGTTTAGGGTTTAGGGTTTAGGGTTTAGGGTTTAGGGTTTAGGGTTTAGGGTTTAGGGTTTAGGGTTTGGGGTTTGGGGTTTAGGGTTTAGGGTTTGGGCTTTAGGGTATTCGAGTGTTCGGGAGTGTAGGTGGCTTAGGTATGGGAGTCCGGGGTTCGGGGGGTCTAGGGGCCGAAGGCTCTGAGAAAACAACACCTCGAAAGGCCGCCAGGAAAAAGGGTACAATTGTCCGCACTCTAACTGCAGCTTCTCAACACAAGGGCCTCCTAAGCCCCTATTCCCTACCAAATGTTACCTTCCTGCGGCCACTTGGGCTCTACACCCTCAGACCACGCAAGCATCAGACATCCCTGAACCCTGAGCCCCAGAACCTTAGGCTCTTGTCTCCCAAGCTCTCGTTTGCGCCCTTGCGCGAGGACTCCATGTCAGGTAGACTCCCAAACTCCTGGGAGTTTTGCAACCCTCCTTGAACCCGAGTGCGTGAGGGAGAGGGGGAGCCTAAAGCCCCAGCTCTCACTCTTCGCGTTTGAGGGGTCCAAAAAAAAGGACACGCCAGCCACGGCATCCGTAGCCACGACTGTAGCATTTAGAGCTGGGAGTCTTGGGTGTGGGCGCTTAGGGTTCAGGATTTAGGCCGCAGGCATGCAGACGAGGCGCTGTCAATTCCCATGGTGAACAGCCGATAGAGGCAGCAGAAGAGTGCTGACGGCGTTGTGTTGCTGTTTGGCATGTACCTGGCACAAAGCCAGGCCTTTGAACCTTCTAATTCGGGATTTGGCGTGCCCGTTTAGGGAGCGTGCGAGATCTTGCTGGGGTTTGGTGAGCTTCTTTGGAAGCATGCTGCAACAAGCTTTGTTCCATATGGTGGGCTGCTGGCTCATTTAGCAAAGCCCCTTCTTAAGGAATCAACGCAAGCGCGTGGTTACGACGTTCAAAACTTATAACCCAACGGATCGCTGCCCATGCACCTTCACATGTACCTGGAACCGTATATGGGCATCCCAGCTACGAGGTCAGGTACATTCCTGAGTTGGGGAGGCTCGACCTCTATACCCGCAAGCTTAGGGCTTCAACAGCTCAGCCCTTCAGTCCCTCCCTCCGTGACGATATCGAGACGAAAAGCTGCAACCCTAAGCCCAAGCCCGAAGCCCTTAAGGCCTGAACCCCAAAGCCTAGACCCTCAACTCGAAGCCCTGAACCCTCAACCCCCCTGAACTCTGAATCTCGATGCCTGAACCCTCAAACCCCTCAGGTTCGGGAGGTTTAAGGTTCAGGATTTAGGGTTTCGGTTGTTACATTCGGGTCCGGGGTCTATAGAGTAGGGCTTAAGGGCTTGGAGGCAGGGGGTTTTAACCCCCCCCCCTCCTAAGCCCGGAACCCTAAAACGCCTAAACCCTAAAGCCCCAAGGCTTCGATCCTCTTGGCCGCTTTCGAGACCGCCAGAATCGGGCGCACGGTTCGATGTTGTCCGCGAACCTGGGAAGGCTCAGAGGGTTTCGGGGGTTTCGGGTTTTAGGGTATGAGCAAAACTTTTTGGTACAAGACCCCCAAACCCCTAACCCCCTAAACCCCTAAACCCCTAAACCCCTAAACACCAAGGCCCGGGTCGAAACCTCAGACTGGGACCGCTGAAAGCCTAAACCTTGATCCCTCGAAGCCTAAGTCGCCAAAACCCCCAAGAGCCCTACCGCAATGCCTAACCCCTTCAGGCCTACGGCAAGGTTCGTGGGTGCGTATAAGCGGGGCTAGGAGAAGGGTAGTGCAACTACACTTGCCATCCAGAAGACCCTCTTAGCCTTGGGTACTGGCAGCCAAGTACCCCGATCATAACAAAAAAGTACCGTTTCGGGGGAGGGGGGGGGGGGGGGTTGGTTACTTGACCCTAAACCCTAAACCCCGAACCCTAAACCCTAAACCCTAAACCCGAAACCCTGAGCCCAGAATCCAAACGTGGCCAGTGGGTACCACTGGGCTACCAGGGCAATTGGGGCAACTCATCGAGTCTAGGGCTCTTAGGGGAAAACCCCGAAGCCCAAGCCCCCAAGGCGCGGAACTCCATAGGGTTTAGGGTTGAGGGTTGAGGGTTTGGGGTTTGGGGTTTAGGGTTTAGGGTTTAGGGTTTGGGGTTTAGGGTTTAGGGTTTAGGCTTTTTAAACCCTTCGTCAGCCCCAAGCCCAAGCTCTTAAACACCCCAAAACACCTCAACTCTGCCCCCAAAAAATCCCAGGCCAAGGCCCCGAACGCCCGAAGCTCCGAACACTGGCACCCTAGAATCGATCCTAAACCCCCAACCCTAAACCCTAAAACCCTAACACCCTCAACCCTAAGACCCTAGACCCTAGACCCTAAATCCTAAACCCTAAACCCTCAAGATCCTAAACCCTAAGTCCTAAACCCTCAAGGTCCTAGGAACCTCAAGATGGTCCATCCATGTTGCTGATTCATCTCCTCGATCATCTGGTCAAAAGACTCCAAAGAGAGCAGGGCCTCGGAGAAGCCCCGGGGAGGTTTTAGGGTTCTTGGGTTTTAGGGTCTTAGGGTTTAGTAGGGTTTAGGGTTTTTTGGGTTTTAGGGTCTTAGGGTCTAGCAGGGTTTAGGGTTTTCGGGTTTTAGGGTCCAAGGGTTTAGTAGGGTTTAGGGTTTAGGGTTTTGGGCTCTAGGGGAGGTCTCTAGGATTTCGGGCCTGGGGGCTTCGGGCGCCGTGTCCCTGTTACAGGGCCACTTTTTTCTCGTCATGTCGTATCGGTTTTTACATACTACGACCTAGTGCCGAATGTGGACGGGGGGGTTTTGATCCTAGGCAAGTAGGGCCTCACACGCAGACTGAGCACCTGCGCTTTGTAGCAGATATTGGGTTTAGGGATTTGGGCTTAGGGGGTTGGGGCTCGCTGGTTCCCTCGCGCAGGATCCCCGAAAGGGAGTCGCCAACACCGTCGGCTAAATTTCCTCAACCCCCTCAATCCTCTAAATCCCTAATCCCTAAACCCTAAACCCTAAACCCCCTCAACCCCCTCATTCCGAAGCCGTCCTTGAACTGAATCGCAGGCACTCCGCGTCCTAACAATTCCCAAACCTCATATGAAGTAGGGTATATATTTCTTGTACCCCTGGAGTCTCCGAAGAGCTGTCCGAGCAAGAAGCGAAAAACTAAAGCACACCACGAAGCCGCTCCAAGTCCTTCACGAGCAACAAGAGGACCGAGCGCACTTCATTAACACGTGAAACGAGAGCATGCGGAACACATTGTCTCCGATGAAAGTTGATGAGAAACTTTGAAAAGTTTGGACATCTCAAGTGGCACGCTATACAGAAACCGTCCCGAGCAGTGACATCAAAAGGGAGAACAAAGTGCTTGCCCTTTTGCCAATGATCAATCCCCCAAAAGGACACCAGGTATATACACTCACCAGTATTAAAAAGGAACCTTATAGACACTTACCAAGAGCAGCAATATAAACACTGTTTCATATGAGGTAAGGCCTT